GCTTTTAGTATCGGTGGTCATATTCTCACCAAGTTTAGAAGTTCCTTCCGCCATGAAAATGTTCAAATGCTTGTTTGTACGAAAAATTGGTTGCATGGCTTTTCTTTAGCTGCCAATGGTATTGTTTATTTTATATATCTCAATGTCTTTAATCTTTTCTTGTTAAATTAATAATTTTAGTTAAAATTCAAACTCATTATATCTATTTCTTTATGACATGAATATTAGATGATAATGACGAGGACTTGGAGACGTCATTGTTGTCCAAAGAAGACTCAAATGTTTTGATTGATGATGAAGATTGAGAAAAACATTACTTAGTCTTGAAGTTTATGAATATTTGATTATGTATTTATGTAGTTATATTGATGAGATTGTAGTTTGTGTAATTGTGTTAAATATTAAAAATTAGAAATTTTATTTATATTTGATATAATATATTTACTTATTTATTTTTGGTGTAATTTATTTATTTGTAATATGTTTATATTATTTAATTTATGAGCTAAATCATAATATAGTTGTATACTTGTATTGATGAGTAGTAGAAATAATTTTTTTTGAAAAAAATAAATTAGCCCAGCCCGACCCATGGGCTAGCAAGGGGTGGGTTGGGTTAAACATTTTGTAGCCCATATAAAATATGGGCTGGTCCGATCTCGTTCATATTTTTTCAACTCATAAGAGTTAGGGTCGGGTTAAATCAGACCGGTTCATATTGACAGATCTAATGTTTAGGGTGTTTATTAAATTTTAGTTAATAAATGCCAATTTTAAAAGTAAAAAAAAAGTGAAACTTTTCAAACCACAAAAAACCAATAGGTAGAACCCTCGACGTGGCGTCGCATTAACCGCGACAAAGCTCCACCCCGAGCTCTCTCTAACGTACCCTTCTAACCTCACAACCATCCTTATCCTATACCCTGTGGTGCACGTTAGCCAACATCTCTACTTTTTATCACCCTCCCATTGAACCGGCCAAGTCCCAACCACGCCAACGGTCCAAAAAACACTTTGGAATCCCTTTGTTGTCATGAAACCTTCGCTCTCTCTTCTGAATTCAAACATGCCATCTGGGTCGGCTTCGTTAATATGGTTTCGAAAGGGGCTCCGGATCCACGACAACCCGGCTCTCGAGTATGCTTCAAGAGCCTCCGCCTTTATGTACCCTTTGTTCGTAATCGATCCTCACTACATGGAACCGGACCCAAACGCTTTCTCTCCCGGGTCGACCCGTGCGGGCATAAGTCGGATCCGGTTCTTGCTGGAGAGCCTTGAGGACCTTGACTTAAGTTTGAAGAAACTGGGGTCGAGGTTGTTGGTGTTGAAGGGTGAGCCTAGTGAGGTTTTGATTCGCTGCTTAAAAGAGGTGATTTTCTCTTTGTAATACTTTGTTTATGGCTATGTTAAAACCATTACAAGTCTTTTTTTTTTTTAAATGTTGGCTTCTTTTATGAGTTTGTGACAGTGGGATGTGAAAAAGCTTTGCTTTGAGTATGACACTGATCCATATTATCAAGCTTTGGATAACAAAATTAAGGTAGGACCGTATACTCCTTTTTTTTTTTTCCTTGTATTCATTTTCTTAGAAAATGACCGTGGCTTCGTTCTCAAATTTTGGTGGAATATGAACTTAAAATTGCGTTCCAAAGTATACTGCAATATTTACAAGTTGGGATGTCAAGTCGGAGGCC